CACTGCGAATCTAAAAATAATACATTCTTCATTTAACCATATATATGGTGAATTAGTCAATTCGTGGTATTATCTTTTATTAAAGGAAGGATATAATTACTTATATCGATATTCGATAATTTTTTATACCATTTGATTGATGAAAGCGTGGTGTACGAGCCGGGGCTTCAAAGGCGTTAATGGAAGATGTCTGTACGATCCCCATAATTTTCCGGGGCGTAAAACATTTGTAACGAGATCTAATTGAAGTTGTTCAGCGTAGAAGGGATCTTGAAGTGAAAATTTCGATGCGTTTTCGTCCTGAATGAACATTCCCCTAATTAATTCACCGCTTGGTTCTTTCTTCAAACAGTTAATGAGACCTAATAAGCCGCATTCTGCATCCCCTTGTCCGACTATAATTATTCTTGTCGTGTTAGTCAATTCATTGTTGGCTCTCAGAGTAATTTTGAGCTGGTCGAGCCAAGAGAATTCGTAATTATTTACAAATACAACCTCAGTTTTATTTATTGACCGAGTTATTTTCTTCAAAAGCGTAATGTGTTCGTCCCCTACGTTTTTCTCGAGTACTACCGCCAGATTGTATCTTTTGGCATTCGTAATATCATTTTCCGTGAGCGAATGTCCCCGTGTTAACAAAAACCCGTTGGATTTTAATGCCTGCAAGATTTCTGTCAACGTTTCCCGTTTGCTTCTCGTTAGTAAGTTACAACCTGTGATTAATATCGCATTGTCTTCCTTTGACAGTTTTTTTGCCTCTGATACTATTATTTCTGGCGGAAGTGTAACGCGATCAAGGTTGTTAGTTCTCATTATCAGGTTAACATTGGATTGATGGGACGGATAATTACACAAGATTTTAACAAACATCGGAGACAGTAAGTTCTTTGTTGAGATTTTATCATCGTCTTCGATTAACTCGATTATATTGACTTGCGTTATTTGGTGATATTCTAATATTAGGTGCATCGATAGGGTTGCACCCTCCTCAAGTGAAACCATAGCACCGTCACGGTGAGCTATGAATCTGTGCTCTTCAAGAATAGGACGTACAATTGGTTTCCGACGAGATATAAGGGTGTGAGAAATGCCACTAATCTGTACACCACCGGATACTATCATACCCAAATGTTTGTATACACGCACAGCGAGTTCTACGTGAATATTTAAAGATATCATATTTAGCTTGTTTAGTTTTCTTATTTTATCTAAATGAAATTTAAATGTAAGTATGTATGAGAAATGGTGTATGAGAAAGGCATTTTTACATTTCAATAATTATAAATTTTAGTAAGTTAAAAATTAAAATGACGGTTGTTAATCAAAATGTCTTGTTAAGGAATATATGTGGAAGTAGTTTGAATACTTACGTTTTTCTTCGGTTGTTGTGTTTTGTATGTGTTGCGCGTGAAATCTCGGATCGATCAATAACTTTTGTATACCAGTACCAACGTAAAGGCTTCTTGTGTCCATACAGAGGACCTGCATTTGCAACATATTATCCATGAAAGTTACCCAGTTATTCACCCATGCTATATGTCCTTGTATGCCTGTAGCGGATGAACTCCTTAGTCCTCGGAAGAGGCCAGAGAATTGATATCCTCGTAATTTCAGTTCTTTATAGATATCTTTCGTTTTCATCACTTCCATTTCGTCGTGATCTTTTTGCAAGTAATGATCCGGTACTCTTTCCTTGATTGGGTCTGATGGTACGCATACTCGGCCAGTAACGATAGCGGTACCCTTTTCTATTACTTCAAACGTCCCAGTCGCTGCAACACGCACATGTATCATTATGATTATCACTTTCCATTTTGAGAAATACAAGAGTTTGGAAATAATTGAGTGGACGTAATATTTACCTTTCTGCACCATTAAAGTTAATTGTATACTTCCCTTGCTGGGAATGTGGGCCGCTTGTATAAATTTGACGTCCTTAAATACGATAGGTATATTATAATATGGGTATCCCCATAACATCCCAATTGTTTCCCATATGAAGAAAAGATATCCCGTAGCTGGTATCAAATTCTTTCCATCGATTACGTGACCACTCATATATTGATAATCTTCGTCTTCCAATGAGATGTTGACTATTCTTTCTCCAGAATTGATTTTTTTCACAAGGAAAAAGTAGTCTACATGCCAATCTTCGGAATGTTTCCACCTGGTGCACCATGATATGTTGTATTGGATGTATATAACATTTAATCTTTTTCTGGCAAGTTTTTGCTTTTCATACAATCAAAAGACTACATATTTGCACACAGAACTAAGCACTAAGAAAATGGTATTGACACGTATCAAGAGGAAACATTAATTCTGCACGTTAATTTTTGCTTCATGTTTCATGCATCCCAAGATGTCAAGTGGATTACATGATATACTCACTTAATCGAGGGGGAAATCATCGGCGTACCACGACTGACCGGAAATTCTACAGTCGGATATAGGTTGGCTAATTGCGGCTGTAAGCCACAGTTGTACATTTTGCCGACACCTTGCAGAAATATTTGAACGTTGTCTTCGTGATCGCGTTGAACTAACGTGATACTTACTGTATCGAACATTTCTTTCAAGACACTCTGCAGAATTCCATCCGGCGCAATTTCCACTAAAACTACATTCTCCGGAATCATTGTTGCGACATTCTCAAAAAATACGGGTGTTATTAGACTATTCGTAAAGTATTCTGCGTAAGATAATTCTGTGTCGCGAAGCAGTCTGCGCCATACCTGGCTGCGTATCATCTTTTGCGGTATTATTTGGCACAAGTAAGCCAAGATCTTTTTTGTTGCAATAGCAAGATAAGAACTATGGAGAGGAATGTTGTTACAGGCAACTTCTTTTGTAAAGATTTCACTGTCCTGTAGTCAATTGAAGATATATATAAATATAATTATATTTTAATTTAATCTAGATTATCAGACAATATACTGGCGCATCCGTCCGTGCTTGAACGATTTCTATCGATTTTACTGCCTCTATGTAAATGAAATGTGTACGGCCAGTTACAAAAAGGTTGCAGTACCCATTTTTTAAATAATGTTTTCAAATGCTTATATTACGATAAATAAATAAAGCCGTGCACGTAGGGTGGAGCATAATAATATATTTAAATAAAAATGGAGACCCACCTGTAATTTCGTGGTGAATGCTTTTATTGACTCCGTGGGTCCGCTAATGTAGCAAGATTTCGGGCTATTCCTGCAGATTACTTCAATATCTTCTGGACATACAGCCTCTACGCTTTCATAACCAAGACCAATGTTCACCGTACTGCATTGAACTATCTTAAATTCACTCAACGCTCGTCCTATGTAATATGCTGACAAAATCACTTGTTCAAAAGTGAAGTCACCCGTTACATACCCACAACAGAGTTCACCGATTGAATGACCAATCACATAATGTGGCATGATATTTACCGACATTAAGAGATCGATTAAACCAAGCTAGGGAAAGAAAGAATTTAGGTATCTCTCGTGAATCGAACTCAAATGACATTTGCAGAAAACGTTTCTGTCAATATGAATATTTTTAACATTAACTGCAAACAGAATAGATAAAATTTCAATGGCCTTTTGTAATTCATTGAATACTTTATGTATTTTATATTGTATCTTAAAACTCCCTTTTCGTGATATTTATTATTTTTATATGTCAGAATAATAAGAAGAAAATGATTTGTTACCTGTATCACGGAGATTCCCACCACTGAATTCAATATGCTATCAAAGGTAGTTTCCTGTTTACTCGTTAAAATGTTGTTGATATGTATTCCATACGATTTTAAAATTGTATCACATTTTTCTATAGTTTTCAAAAATATTGGAAATTGCATCAGTGATTTTCCTATCAACATGCAAATTCAATTTTATGTCTGCAAATTATAAAAGCAATCACTTTGTTCTTAATTGTTCATATGTAAAAGAAAAAGTACCCATGCCAATCCATTGAGATCCAATACCGGAAAACACATAACAGATCGGTTTTCTTACTTTTGGATAATGCTCTATTTCATGTATTACATTGTTCAATGTTTGAGATTCGACAATCGTATACCCTCTATAAGAATGACCTAGCATTTCGTCGGCGTAGAGATCGTGCAATAGCCGAATATACTCAACGTCTACCGGTTGACTTTCAATCTAAAATTGAAGTATTTCGTGTATATGTACGTTTTTATCTTGTACATGATAGAATATTTACACACTTCGTGCAAAAATGACTCCACTGCTTGTTCAGTGCGACCAGAGAGAACAACGAGTCTTGGTAAATCATCTTTCGGCGCGCCACCGTTGATTTTTTTCTTTATATTGGGGGCGAGAAGAACATGAGCATTGGTTCCGCCAAAGCCAAAAGAATTTACTCCCGCCAAACTAGGCTCCCATAACGTCGAGGCTGTAACTACCCGTATGGTTCCCTTTTTGAAAGCTTCAATATCATTCCGTTCTTGCGTCAAATTTATATGTGCTGGAATCACGCCGGTTTCCATTGCTATCACCACCTTGTCGGGGAGAAATATATTTAAATGTTAAAAATCTTGATTTCCCTTTTAATTGAGTAATATTAAATAAGTAGTGTTTATATCGGTGGAAATGAAGGAATGAATGTACATTTTTGTTCTGTGTTATTGAAAAATTAAAAAAAATTTTTGATTCATAACTTTTATTAAGAATTATTATTGTTACTTATTTACTAAATCATTTGTGTCTCTTATTACCTTGGCAATGTGGCATAGACCACTAGCGCCCTCAGTATGACCCAAATTGGATTTGATAGAGCCAATTAGTAGAGGAGTACTTTTATCTTTGCAAAAAACTTTGTCGATTGCTTTAACTTCTTCTGTGTCGCCAGCCCGCGTACCGGTACTATGGGCTTCTAGGTAAGTAACACATGACGGCGATATGCTGCATTCCTTGTAAAATTCTTGAAATAAACGTTCTTGCATTTTGCTTGATGGAAATGTAATGCCTTGTTCCTTGAATCCGTCGTTATTTATCTTGGCATGAATTAGAGTAGCGTAAATTCTTTTAGCGTTTTT